TTTATCATGAAATCGTTATCATGTCATATTATAACACTGTTGCATTGGTTACATGATGCATAGCTTACTTGATTCATGTAGGCTATATGTCTATGTAGATATCAATAATACTAATCATCATTTCCAAATCTACCCCTTCGTAGATATGTTACCATCTGTATTTCCAATTTTGTAACAAATAGTTAACATATTCTTCGATATTTGTTTTTACATATGTTTGTTAATATACATTTTTACATTTTTTACCCTTTGTTTTCAACTATGTTTATAGTGGTTTTTTTTGTTATAATTTGGTATAAATTGAATTTTGCTATTATTTCCCTGTTGATCTGCTTTCTATATATTGGGTCTATGGCAATCCACAATGGTTTATCGGTTTTACATGTAATGTGAAGTGGGCAGAAATAACAGAGTACATGGATACGCATATCCAAAAAGATGTCCACAGTAAACCAGGTATCACTGCTATAGTCCTCAACATCAAAGTTGATGAGTTTGTTCGGTTTCTAAAACAGAACAAAACATTTGGTGAGGTTGAAGCATATATGTTTTGCATTTTGTCTTCGTTTGATATATATATTTTAAATATAATGTTATTGTTACCATGAAATCATTAAGACGTGATGTGATTTCAGTATTCCAATGGTTACATGATTCATATTTTATTCGATTCATATCCAGCTATATATCTTTGCAAACATCAATCATATTAATGATCATTTCCAAAGGTACCCCTTTGTACATATGTTACTGTTTGTCTTTCAATTTCACTAACGAATGGTTAACATACTTTTTAGTGTTTGCTTTAGGTGTGTTTTATAATATTTTTTTGCTATGATTTCGTAGATATTGAATCCTCCTGTTATTTGACTGCAATAAAAGGTTTTAGTTCATGCTGGTACATGGTTTCGTCCTGATTCTTGAAGATTTTATTTTACACATACTTTACTTAATGCAGTAAACCAGTTGATGCTTACAAACACTGCTCTTTATTCATAAGTAACGATTGACAGTTAATTTTTTTCTTTATTTTTTTTTCTCTTTTTTGTTTATTTTATTTTCTTTAGTTCTAAGTGTAACTTTTTTGCCATATTATAACAGCTATACATTACATTCCATATCTTCCTACACATGCTATATTACATTCGAAATATCCTTCTTTATTCATACATAATAATTTTCAGTTTTTATTGGTTTTTTTTTTCCATTTTTTTTCACTCTGTTTCTGACTTTTTGTATCTGTTATTTTTCTAACAGAATCTATTACATTCCATAATATATAATATTTCGTTCCCTTATTTGGCAAAAGTATATTTAATTGAATTTTCAATGTTTGTTAATATATTGGTATCTTTTATATGCTAATTTTGTATCTCCCTTTTATTTTTAGCATGAAATCATTAAGATGTCATGTTATAATGGTATGGGACTGTTCACAGTATCCATATTTTATTTGATTCATATAGCTTTCTATATGTACTAGCATTTGTGTTTGAATTTTGGTAACAGATTGTTAACATATTCACTACAGTTTGTTTTTAAGTGTGTTTTTTAATGTTTTTTTAGTTATAATTTGGTAGAGATAGAATCTTCCTGTTATTTGTCAGTCATGAAAGCTTTTACTTTATGCTCTCATATGTTTCTCTCCATACTATAACTGGTCTACATTAGATTCCATATCTATCTGAAAGATGTCTACTTTTTAATATTTTTTATTATTATTATTTGTTCTTTTTATCTATATTCCATTAAATGTGATATGTTTTCAGTTTGATATCTGTACAGATATTAACTTCAATGTATGCTTACACACTTATCTAGAAATAGAAAAATATTAAATGTTAATATTTTGAAAATTCTTCATAATTACAGATTTGTACACTATTGAATTCCAGAAGAGAGGTCTTCCGCATTGTCATACTTTACTTTGGGTAAACAGTTCAGACAGAATAAAAGATCCAATTGATATTGACAGATATATTACAGCAGAGTTGCCGGATCCAATTAACGAGACAGAATTGTACGAGACGATAACAAGCTGCATGATCCAGGGCCCGTGTGGACCGCTTAATGAAAAGGCTCCATGTATGAGAGATGGTAAATGTACTAAACATTTCCCTAGACCCTTTGTTGATAGTACATTCTTTGACAGAGAGGGATATGTACGGTACAAACGTAGCGCAAATGCACATCATACTACCCAATATGGACAGGTTGTAGACAATGGATATGTCGTCCCTTACAATAAAAGGCTTTGTTCCCGTTTCCGTGCACACATCAATGTTGAATACTGTGGCTGGAATATGATGATTAAGTACCTGTTTAAATATATTTCCAAAGGAGCTGATCGCATAAGATACACTCTCCAAAAGGCAGAATCAACCAATCAGCCATCCGCAGCGCCACCCACTACTACCCATAACAGATCCGAAAATGAAGATATATGTGCTATAAACGAGGTACATAACTTTTTGGATGGGCGCTACATATGCCTACACGAAGCAGCATGGCGGATTTTAGACTTCCATATACATCATCGTCATCCAGCTGTACATATTCTATCTGTACATGAGGAAAACATGCAACAATTGCTGTTCAATGGAGAAAACACAATACCTGATGTCCTATCAAATCCGAACAACAGTATTACCACCCTACTTGCGTGGTTTGAAAGTAATGCAAGAGATGCAAAAGGTCATGATTTGACATACCTAGATTATCCAAAATCTTACAAATGGGAAAAGTCATCTAAGTCATGGAGCCGAAGAATTTATGAGTCATCAAAAACAGTAGGTCGGCTTGTATTCGTACATCCTACATCTGGAATTATTTTACCTACGGATGCTACTCTGTCACCAAAAGGGATGTACATCGTTTCAAGATTTGCGTACCGTACGAGGTACCGTTTACCCAACCTTTCGGGCCGCTTGCAATGCACTTGGATTGATAGGGGATGATATGGAATGGCTTACCTGTTTCACAGAAGCTTCCATCTGGGCAACCGCATCACAACTATGATCCCTTTTTTGCCACCTACTGCTTTTCTGTGAGGTCAGCAATCCACGTTTACTATGGGAAAGTGCATGTGATAAGATGAAAGATGACTATCTACATACCTTGAAACTCCAAATACCAGATAAGAATATTGCTTCAGCTGCTGACATAATTGAACAACAGTTGCTTCATGATTTAGATAACATCCTCCGTTCCGCTGTTCCATCCAAATCAATGGGAGACTTTAGCCTTCCTGTTCCTTCAGCTGACGTCATTGGTATTTTACGAAATCGGCTTCTACTGGAAGAATTGAGCTATGACAAGGAAGGGCTACTAAAAGAGCACAATGAGCTGGTGCCAAAACTAAACAGTGACCAACGATCGGTCTATAACACAGTTGTCAGTTCCATAGAAAACAAAAAACAAATACTGATGTTTGTTTATGGACATGGGGGTACCGGCAAGACATTCCTATGGACAACCATTCTTTCCTATTTCAGATCCATAGGAAAGATTGTATTGGCTGTTGCTGCTTCTGGAATTGCATCACTTTTGTTACCTTCTGGAACAACTGCACATTCAAGATTTAAGATACCTATCGACTTAACAGACAAAAAATCATGCGATATTAAAAAACGCACCTTCCTTGGCGAACTTATGCAACGTACAACACTCATTATTTGGGATGAAGCACCATGAGTGACAGAAGGTGCTTTGAATTTTTGGACCGCTCACTTAGAGATGTGCTAGATTGTGATCAGCAGCCGTTTGGAGGGATATCGATGCTTCTTGGTGGTGATTTCCGCCAGACTCTTCCTGTTGTACCAAAAAGCACGCGTTCGGAAATCATTGCACTAACTTTACCAAGTTCATACCTATGGCCATATTTCATAGTTCGGATTTTACATACAAACATGAGACTACAATCGTCTGACATAACAACCCAAAATTCAATGTCCACATCAGCCTTTGCAAGATGGTTGCTAGCTATTGGAGATGGAGTCATAGGTGTACCAGACAACGATGACCCACGTGATTCAAGTTGGGTACAAATTCCATCTTCACTCCTAATATCTGCCACTCCAAACTCTCTACAGACGTTGATAGATTTTGTTTATGGAGATGGTATACTTATCGACCCCACTGCTGCAGACCTTTCAGTAAGAGCAATAGTTTCTCCTACAAATGAGACAGCCGACGAAATAAACACCCACATTTTAAAAATCGTGAGAACAAGTAATAGGACATACAATAGTACAGACATCATGGAACCAAATGGCAAGCACACATCAGATATGGAAGGCTTGTATCCAATTGAATACCTAAACCAACTAAACTTTCCAGGAATACCACCACATGAGCTTACAGTTAAAATACATTGTCCAATAATGTTGATAAGAAACATAAATAAGAGGGAAGGTTTATGTAACGGTACCCGACTCATTGTCTCCCAATTGTTACCAAACGTTCTCGAAGCAACCATCATAACCGGCACTTGCATTGGAAAACGTACATATATACCACGGATAAAATTCATATACAAATCATCAGATTTGCCATTCACGTTTTCACGAAAACAGTTTCCAGTGAAAGTTTGTTACGTGATGACTATCAACAAGAGTCAAGGACAGTCACTGCGTAGAATAGGAATGTATTTGTCACAGCCCGTCTTCGCACACAGACAACTTTATGTAGCAATATCCCGAGCAACATCACCAGATTCCATAAAAATACTAATAAAGACAAATGACACAGTGGAAGAGAATCAAACCAAAAATGTTGTGTTCAAAGATTTACTGCAGAAACTTACTTCAACAGAGGTCTATAGTATCACAACCTGTCATACTTTTCGGCAATCCTTTTCTAAAGACCATTACTACTTTTTGAAATCATATTTGCTGTTCACTTCTTCCACATAAATTACATATCTATAGAATTTCTTATTCTTTTCCGAATATAACACTGATTTTCGCATATTTCTTTCCATTAGAAAACGCAAACAACTCATGACGAGCATCTCTGACTTGAAGACTGATGGTATTGGAGGCCCGCTACAAGTTAGAATCCTACGGAAATGGAAACATGATGTCCGGCAATACGAGACTTGGTATCTTGCTGTCGATAGATTTGTAAGTAGTCACCAAAAAAGATTACAACAAAATCAGGTTCTAAATTTTATAGTTTGATGTTCTTCAAATATTAAAAAGTATGTTGTTAACAAAAAATAAATTATTTACAGAAAGTACAAATAAAAGTTCTTACAATAAAATTACTGATAACAATTTTTTTATGTTTATAAAAACACCCAATTTGTTATTTTAAAAAAATCATCTCTTTAAGAAATGGTACATTCGTATATAATATGCCATAATCTGTAAATCATAAATATCCCTGTTTTGTAATAAAAACAGATCTAATATCAACCTATTAACAGCATGACTGAGAAACTACATTCATCAAATCGTATAACAATCTCTTTTTACAGGCAGATGCCATACAAATTCTTGGACAGCGAACAAATCAGAGCTACATTGAGTCTGTCCTCCATGTTTCACAGTGTTACACCATATCAGATTATAGCTGTCCTCAATTAGATAACTATCAAAAATTCCTTCAAAATGAGTTCTATATCGATGTTGGCCTCAAATCCATCATACAACCAATTCCAGATACATTAACAATACCTAAAACCTGGTTTCGGTTCGTACCAAAATCACATCTCATAGACCTTGGAGAAAGACCACCATATTATCCAGGTAATCATAATACCGACAAATCTGATTACATAGCTGTTTTTTAAACATTTACATTTACTACTAAACAGATTACATTGGCGTCTTATCAAAGATCAGAGACTGTACCAAAGCAGGCGGGGAATCATTTGTGTTGCTCATACTAACCGATGAAAGGTATACATACTAAAAAGCATATGACAGTTATCGATTTTCTCATACCTATCTAACACCAAAAAAAATTTCAATTTTATTAGTGGTAGTGAACTTGCAATCAATCTATGGAAAGAATGTATAACCAATCCAGACAAATTCAACTGCGACTCCTTACATCCTCCACCTGCGACAATGGTTGTTGTGGTCACGAACCTAAAACCATCCATATACAATGGTACTTTTTTCTACACAGCCCTGTATATATCAGTCTTATCATTGTAATATGATGTTATGTCATGCATTCAATCTGCAAATCACTTTTCTATAGGAGTATTACGCTATGGTTCATCACATGCTACGCATATCTATGTGAATCCGGACATACCAGAAACAATAGCACTCATTAATCCGTGAGTCATAAATTACAAACAAATCATATATTCCATATGGTAAACTTCCCATACTAATAAGAAGATGACATTAGATTTACAGGACCTTCAAGACCAGCACCACCACTATCAGGAACACCGTTAACCCTATATGACATGAAGACAAAAAACAGATATGATCTTCTGGTAACATCATCTTAATAATATCTCTATTTACAAATAACATCCGCTTCAGACATCCACATCCAATTCTTTTATATCTACAGGATAAAACATTCATTGTACAGGCTTCAATCAAAGAATTTCACTATCAAAATAACTGGTTCCAACCAATATGTCCAATATGCAAAGATCCCATCTTCAAAAGAGGTGAAAGCTGGTACTGCAGTGCACATGGACTAATCGAAAAGCCCACTTACATGTAAGCATCTTTTGAGTTAAATAAAGCATCATTCTTCTCTAACAAAAGTCTTTACAAATATTTTCCATTCATAGGTACAAATTAACAGTAACCATCACTGATGCTACGGACACGATATCAGCACTGATATCCGAGACATCATGTCAGAAACTGTTAAAGTCATCACTTGAGAACTTTATATCCAACAACCCACACATAAAAAGAAACACCCTACCTCCTATCATCACTAACCACAAAGAACAAACAAAAAAGATGTCGATCCAAATGCTTAGAGCATCAACTCCCGACAATATACGCTTCATAATAACAGATATTGAAGACCCAACAACCAGGGCTCAAACATCTGTGCCAGCAACACCAGCTCAACCACAAATGACAAGAATGCAACCAAGTGACACAATACCAGAGCCATCAACACCTGTTCAACATGTTGCACGTGCTCTCACCTACGATCCCACAGGTAAACACACACTAACAAAATCAAATTCAAAAACAAAAATCCAAAAAAAATACTAACAATTTTCAATTCATGTCTAACAGAATCTACACCAAGAAAAAAATGCAAAGCGGACAGCCAAACAGCAGACATCATAGACAAGCACCGCAAAATGCATCTTTTGTTTGGACCAATATCACTATCTTTTGTAATATAAATATATCATCATGATCCTTGTGTTTGAACAATTGTCACTATCTTTTCTAATATAAACATATCATGATGACCCCCTATGACTGTAAACAATAACAAATAACTTCTCTTTGTATCAATCCTCTTCTTCTAAATTTCATAGATGTTTCCATAAGAAAAACACTGATAATATGCAGATCCATCCATCATTCTTTAAATGTATAAAACCCTGTCGAACATACATATGCAAAGAATAATAAAACTAAACAAATATAATCTATATAACAGTTTCTTTCCTTCTATGAATTAACGCACCACCTACGTAATAACATGCACGGTAGCCATTACCCAAAACATGAATACACACATATCGATTTAAATAAATAATCCGTTTAAATTATCCATTAATTAATAATATATTACGGTAACAACCATTATCATTACGCAATTAAATGCTGATACATATATTCCACCAAACACACTGCATAAGAAAAAGAATATTTATGATCAATACTTATAAACTTACATAAATTACCACTTCAATTATACTAGATTCACTTGATCACATCCAACCACCAAACAGTAGTCATCAAATTAATTACCAAATCCAAGGTCAACAATTCTATCTACCAAATCAGTCAAGCAAACCTCATAGCCACCCTATCTACCACTTCTCAGCAGAAGAATTAAATTAGCAAAATTAATACCATTCAACAACCACAATAATCACTTATAAAACCAGACTAGAAACCAACTAATTCGTCTACAAAAACGCAAACAAACATCATGGATACCGTCTTGTAGAAACTCATCGATCAGCTTGAAACGATGAAGCTGTCCTTGGCAGATGTCCAAACAACGTACACCACCATCAACAGTTCCAGACAGAATCTGCTGCATGATGCTCCAACAGAACTGCCAGATGTCCAAACGACGTACACCACCATCAACAGTTCCAGACAGAATCTGTTGCATGATGCTCCAACAGAACTGCCATACATGTTCAAACGCAGTCAAATAAATATTATTTATTTCAGAAGCGATAAAAATAACACAGATGCTAAAAATGAAACCTTCAGGCCCCCGTGTAGCGGGGGATAACCATCTAGTTTAAATTATGTAGTCTTTTTTACGTAATGAAATATTTATATTTTAATTAATTTTGTTTTTGTTAACCAATTTCTTAATTTTATTTATTTATTATATTATAGTATTTTAAATTAAGTAAAATAAGAAAACTAAAGTGAGGGAAATGAAATGTGATCATTTCCTTTTTTTCCAATAGGAAGAATGAGTGAAAAATAAATGACCGTTAGGGTGACACGAAGAAAATAAAAAATAAAATATGACTACACCATCAAGTGTAATACTTTTACAATTAAATACATTTAATCATTTATTTATAAATTTTTGACATGTAAACATAGAGTAATTGTTAAATTTAGCAAACAAACTAATTCAACTTAACTGTTTTTATAACACCAACTACACACATTATTACATTAACATGCAACTTTTCCCAAATATTTTCTTTTTATGTATTTTTTAATATTTTATGCTTACAGAAAGTAGTGTCTTGTGTAATTTGTTTTCACAAATGATTTCTAACTTTATTAATTATTCTTTTTCATATATTTAAAGTTGCATTTTTTTTTTTTACTTTTCAAATTGTAAACAAATAGTAATTTTGTAAAAAATAATTTGTAAAAATGTTTGTGCTACCATTTTTACTCTTTACAAATTGGAAAGAGATAATTGAGCCGCTGACGGTCTATTCAGGATTCACATGGAATGAGAGCTAACTTTCACGATCTTTTTTCTCAATGCAATGAAGGTCACATTTTTTATATAAATTTGATACAAATATATGAGTTTATTGGTTAAATATGTAAAAAAAATGACTAAATATTTACAACAACAAAACTTTATTACCCTAAAATATTTATTGGTTGAAGTCATCGGAAACGATAAACATTTAATTACGTACCGGTCATAAATGATACGTTTTGAATACTTCAGATAAATTTATTGGGCAAACCTACATGTAAAAAATTTACAATGTATGAACAAATTGATTGTACTGAATCCTTTTGTAGTTTTGTTTGACCTTTTCGTTGTCTTCATAGGTGACTACTTGGCCATCTTTTTTAACATAGTCTTCAAGGAGAGACTTGAATCATATCATATGCTGAGCATAAATGATCTTTTCGTTAAAATAATAGCTACAATGTAACATATAGTTTTGACAAAACTACATACTTGACGCCTAAGGATTTTACAAAAAAAAATAATAATAAAAATACAAACTATTGATAGAGTCCAAAAAATTTTCAACTTACAAAGAAGGTTTAAAATTTGGAAATTTTCATGGTTTTAGTCCCTAAAACACTTAAAAGACTGTATTAGGAAATTTCAGATCAGGATGTTCGGTTCATTTCCAGGTTTTGGAAGAGGTTCTATGAGGAGTGTGGTACTCGATTGCACTTCAGCATAACTGTTCATCCGCAGAACGATGGTCAGAGCTAGCGGACTATCCAGACCTTGAAAGATATGCTACGAACACGTGTGCTGGATTTTGGTTGTAGTTGGGATACGTGTCTCCCATTGACTGAGGTTTCTGAAAACAACATCTACAACGCCAGTATTGATCGACCTCCTTTTGAGATGCTTTACGAAAGGAAGTGTCGGACCCCGATTTGTTGAGGTGAGGTCAGTCAGCGAGTTATGGGTAGCACGGAGGTGGTGCTCCGGGCTACTTAGTTGATCCAACAAGTGCACGGGAGATTGTAGACTACGTACAGCCGACAAAAATGTTATGCTGATAGACATCGGTCAGATTTGGAATTCCAGGTTGGGGATATGGTACTCCTGAAAGTGTTACCTTGGAAATGTGTCATCTGGTTCAAGAAGCGGGGCAAGCTGGGCCCCAGATATATTGGTTCTTTCAGGTTTATTGCTCGGATGGGCAGGGTTGCCTATCGTTTAGAGATACCCGAGGAGCTCATTCATATTCACAACTGTTTTCACGTCTCTCAGCTACGGAAGTGCTTGGTTGATGATTCCACAGTGGTTCCTTTGGAGGATATCCAAGTGGATGAGTGCCTAAATTACATAGAGATACCAATTGCGATCCTAGACAATAAGACAAATACTTTGCGAAACAAGGTTGTGGGACTAATAAAGGTGCAATGGCAGCACCGGAAGGGTTTAGAGTAGACGTTGGAGCCCGATGATGAGATGCAAGAGCATTACCCAGAGTTATTTGCGTCAGCGGACTTTAGGACGAAGTCTGATTCAAGTGGAGGAGAATTGTAATGCCCGGTTCCCAGGTAAATTCCTTAAAATTCTAAGTGTTTATTATTTTTGCATTATGGCCTATTATGCTGGGCGTAATTAAGGTATGTGGGACGTACCTTGTTGAAACCTGGACACGGTGTTTTCCCCTAGTACGTTGGGCATACCTAAAGTACGCAGGACGTACTCGAGTAAGGGGCAAACCATAATTTTTGGGTTTTGGACCTTATAAAACCTCATTAACTCCCCTTGAGGCTGACCTTATCCTTAGGCTCCATCCTCTAAGCAACTTTCCTCGAAACCCTAGCCCATATTGGAGTGATTCTTGAGCCTTTTGAGTGATTTTAGTGCATTTTGAAGAAAAAGGAGCTTATTAAAGGTGTATTGTTTGGCTTGAAGCTTGTGGATCTAGAATATATTCACCTTCATCATCTTCTAGAAGGTATAAAGTCTCAATCTTGGTGTTTCTTTGTTTAGATCTAGGCTAGTTATGGTTTTTGGCTTGTTTTGGTCACATGGGTTGATTCATATGAGTAAGAGCTACTTCAAAAGTTTGGGTAAACATTTCTTGATGTTTTGAGGTCCCTTGTTAACGAAAATAACACCTTGATGGCTTTAACTCAACCATGAAAGAGTTGATGTTTATAATATGGAGTTAGAAGGTTAGAAATTAGTTTTGGGCCTCTTTGAGCCATGCAAAGGCATCAAGTTGACGACTTTATTATTTAAGACATTCCTAAGAACAAGATATATGAGTTTAACTTTTTGGTCTAAAGCATTAAGTGCTTAAAAGTTGATTCTGAGCTTCTGAGGCGTACACGGGGAGTAACGGGCTTGGCCTGATTTTGCTCTCGATCGTAGCCTAGTACGATGGGCGTAAAGGTGGTACGCACAAAGTACTCACCTGAAATCCTTTTCGGCCATTTTGGGCGATGGGGTTAGGTTGGGCCATTTTGGGCCTAGGGGTTAGGTTGGGCCAATGTGGGCCATGACTTGTTGGGCCTAGATTTGGAAGGGTAAAAGGGTCTTTTACTCTTTCTGAGATGGATTATGAATTGGACTTTTACTTGCGGATTGTTACCCTAAATAGTGATTTGGGTTGGTTCGAATGTGTTTAGTGTGAGGAGCCATTGTAGCTGTAGCTTGCATGTGTTTGCTTATCGTCAGATTGAGGTGAGTCTTCTCACAGTGTTTGGCTGGTCAAAGGCACCAATAATGGCCCATTGATTACTTTTATTAGGATTCTAGATGTCTTTGTGACTCTTGCATGTAATGTATTTGTTTGTATGTATAATAGGCAGGGCCCGATGCCAGGCGAGCCCTGATGAATGTGTTGGGTGGGGCCCATCGCATGTTACTAACAGATCATACTAGGCGGGGACTAATGTCCGGTGAGACCCGATAGATGTCGGGTGAGGCCCATTATATGTATCATATGTGGTATTTTGAGGAAACTCAGTAAGATTTTTCTTATAGTTTAAGTTTATGTTTCAAGTACTTCCGGTTCGAAGGGGAAGGTCCCGGCTTGATCGCAGTGCATCCACCCGTGTTCAACATTATTATGATTTTGGGAATTGTTCTCTGATAACTATTTTCATATTGACATACTTATGGATGGTTTTATATGAATACTTGACGGTTTTTGGTTAACCTAAAAATGAAATTTTTACTTATTATTTTTGGGATGTTACATAATCCATTCATGAATGCTAAATGAGGATTAAAAGAGAT